CTAGATTTCTTGTTATCTGAGGTCTCCGACGTCGGCCGGAAAATTGGTGGGCTTTCATGCAATACCACTAGGAAAAAAGGGACAAATAACATGTGTTCAAACGTTTACGGGTTTGTGTTACTTTACTGTTTTTAGCGTGCAGAACACTGATGAAATGTATACATATGTGTTCGAATAACGTGCTATTTGGTCCTTTTTCTTTTAGTGTACTGTGGCTGCATTGCTATTGATGCGCTGCCAAGCAATGCTTCAGCAAATGCCCACATGTCAATACTGACAAGCGTTGATGTGTGTGCGAATGCTGCATCAATGGTGATTCACTGGTTTTGCTGCACGGTTGTTCATCGCTGCATCAATGATACTCTGCTCAAAATATTGCGTCAATAGTCACTGTTTTCCTAGATGATTGTGACGATCCGGGATAGGAATCTTTCAATCTTTCCAATGATGTTTTTCCCCAAGTTAGATTCGATCGCCTATTGTTCGGCCCAGTGCACAATTTCAAAAATATCATTTGGGACTTTGTTGCGCCAGCATTCAATGCAAAATGGTCAAAGCACTTTGCAGCCTTCAGCCTGTCTGGCTGGTTGTCTTTCAGGTGGCGCGAAGTGGCGACAGTCCAATTTGCCCCTTGGAGAAGAGGTTCTGCTTGAACAAGGACGGACCTCCCGAATCCGTTTGTGAGTTTGGTATTTCTTTCATTGATACACGTCCAGCCGACCGTCAATTTCCTCCGGACATTGGCATCTGTCCAGGTGGGAATGCCCCCGCTGTGGCATTGCCTGTCGACAGCCTTCTCGTGAATTTCATTAACTCAGGCGCCATTCCCTGTCGCCAGTGCTATGGTGTTGAGTTGAAGCTCAGCTCTTTGTTTTCGAAGAGCGCCTGCTTTCGCTGATGCGGCGGCATCACCTTGCCACGGTCGAACGTGCTGTCCCACGTGCGCTTCATCAGCGTATATTTAACAACTTACCTGTGGCCCCTCGTCTCTACATATGACGTGAGTGTGGTAAATTGATTCGATTCCATCTATTCTGCAGGAATTAAAGAATACATTGGCATCAAACGGCAGCGACCCTTCCGTGGTGTACTCTACGCCGAAAAACGGTTCCACTTGATGCACCCCAAAAAATTGTGTTGGTGGTTTCACAGTACTTCATTTCGCATCGTATAGCACAGGGGTCGATCGCACTGTGCTGAACTGCCTCATCGAAGGTGGCTCGGACGTGAACGCCACGGCTGCTAAAGACTTCACTCCGCTGCACACCGCCACCCCTTGGAGTGACGCTGTGGCCATCAAAGTTGTCGAGAGCGGAGGTGAGAAGCGAAACCGAGAGCTGTTTCACATATGCATTGACGCAATCAAAGGAACGGCGCTGGATGGCACCATGCAGTTTGGCTTCAATTGGTGCGGCGACGTGGAAAATATGTGGATTACAAGGAGAACCAGCACCAAAACGGAGAACTTTCTCCACTCCCTCCAGGAACTACACCCAATATGACTTTGCAAAATCGATCCTGGCTCTGCCAAGGCGTCGCATAGCTTTCGAGTGCCGATTTTTTTTGGTTGCTGCGTGGAGTCATACATACTGCCATCAGAGGCGTGTTTTCGGAGGCATAAGTTTTCACTTGCCCCTCGCACACTGCATTCGTACACTACGCTGATCTATGCCGTGACGTCATGTCGGTGCGTCCGCGTAATTAGCAAATGAACAAACAGACGTGCTCTAATGCACACGTCGTCGATGAACAGTTGCAGATGTCAACAGAACGGCATCGGGATCGAGAACGCCGGTACACATTGCAGCCTCTTGGAATCGATCCGAGCCTGTCAGCGCTCTCGGGGACCCGGGAGCGGGCGTGGATCTACCTGATGATGATGGCCGGGCACCGATTCACCGCGCAGCAGAAGAGAACCAACTGGAGTTTTGATTGCGCTTTTTGAGTTCAAGGCGAACGTGAACGCCGTGAATAAGGATGGCAAGACGCCCTTGCGCGTTGCTGTGGCGAGGTGCAATGCCGACAACGCCATGATGCTGGCTGAAAATGTAGCCGACCCGACAATTAAAGGCAGGCTTGATGACGCGCCGTGGGATGACGTTCCCGGGTCAAGGTGCGATAATGCGACCATATCGGCGTTGAATGGTTCTCTTGGTTGTTGAATTTGGGGGATGAGCTGCCGGTATTTGACAGTCGTTGTATCTTTTCCAGAAAGATCTTAACCACCACGTTAATATGGGATGCATTCAGGTGTGTGTGTGTGCACAGCATTTTTGGCATTCGTCTGGGTGTCATCTTCCTGGCGCCTGGAGAACGGCGCCCATCTACTGTATGGGACTGTGACGAAGGTCGAGGTAATAATGTGGAGCAGCAAATTAAGCAATATAAAGTGAGTCGGCTTGCGACAGACCGCTGAGAGCTCGCGGTCGAACGCCTTTCCGACGCGTGACTGCAGGAACAAGAAATGAGAGCCCGATGTTCCCGCTATACAGCGCACCTGAAATATGCACCTGAAATGTATTTCAGGTGCAAGGAAATGATTGCATTGTTAGTTTTTCTATTGGCGCTTTCCAGCAGAGTCGGTTGTGGACTTAACGCCTGCAGTTGTGCATTCAGTGTCGACGGCGGGCTCCGTCTCATAATTCATTATCACCAAAGTGCGCAATAAAAAGCTGAAATGACAGCGTGACGAAAAGCGATCGGTTCGGTTGAAGGAAAACAATGATAAATTCTTTCCTGAAACGTGATTCTCTTTTCTCAAGTGTTTTTTTCCATTCATGCTGGTCAGCTGCTGTGCGTTTGTCACATTCTGTAAGTCAAAGAAGGGTTGCGGCGGTGCGGATGGGGTGCTCTGTGGCAGCCTTCGGTGCCTCAATGAGATGCGCGCACATATGCGTGGTGGCGCGGCTGGGTGCGGCGGTATATGAAGCCGCCAGTGTGCTCAGCACGTGCAGCTGCCTTCGCTCTGCCTCCATTGTTTTGTTAAGTAGTTCATTATGGTGAACTTCTATATTCACGCATATACACCACCATCTCAGGAATTCCGCACAATGATTTGTTTTTGCTATGGATTTCAAAAATGTCCAGAAGAAGAGCCGCTGGTGGTTTTCTGGAGTGGCAACCTGTGGTTTCCTGCTCAATACTTACATTCCACAGCCATGTAAGAGATTACCGTGTTTGGGGGGAAATGGCTGGAAAAAATGTGACCGTAATAACCCATCGAGCAGCGCGATATGCAGCAGCGATAATTGACATGCTCCACAGTATATTGTCGAAGTGACAAGAATATGGTATCTACTTGCTCATATCTATCACCATGTGAGCGTTGCCTCTTCGCATACAGATGATAACAGGTATTTGATGCTGAGAATGAGCAGGCTGATAACATATGTGTGCTAAGTCCCACTCGCGCTGCAGCGGATCTCCAAACTGCAGCGCCTACATCGCGCGATGGAGCGTAGCGTCATTCTGAATAATCACAGCTTTCTTTGGATCGTTAAGGAGACACCACAATTACCACATACTGCAACATCGGTCTCCTGCAGCAAAACGTCTTATATCAGCCAAGGAAGTAGAATTCATTTTGCATCTCCCACGAAATACCCTGAATCTTTCATGCTTTTAAACGCATCACAGCTACAAAATAATTTGACTTGAACCCAAGACAGCAGCTTAAGAAAAATTTTGGTCTTGGATTTGTTGGTGACTAACCCGGCCCATCGACGACGCCTGCTTTTTGGAATCTCTTCGAAGTTTGGTGAAATTAAGAGGGCCGCTAAAGAATCAAAATTCTGGCTACCTCGAAGATGAATGTGCATTCAAATATAGTTTGGAAATGACAAATCTCTCCTGCAGCAGTGTCAAATGGTAGAAAGATCCCTGAAATACATCAGAAGTGTGTCTTTTTTGCCAGTGCACTCTTCAACACCCACTGTGCATCGAGGAAATGCCGATGTGCACTAGCCTGGCATTCTCGATCGTCATGGTGCACCATGACAATCAAGTGTCATGGTGCAAAATGAAAGTCAATTCACACGTGTAAATTGTTGACACGGTTGTGGCGAACTTCAAGTGAGTCAAAGTTCTCTTGCAGTAACTCTCCTTCCATTTAAAAATTAGTTTTCAATTTAATGAAAAACCTTATTCAGCGTCAAAAAGTCTACCACGACACTTTGTAGAGACCGAAAAGAGCGATAGAACTATAGAAATACCTTCACTCGCAAACCAAAGTGTGTTCTGTTCGATGGAGTCACTGGCATAGGGCCCAATCAGCAAAAAGGACAGTAACCATGACGCAACTCCAGGCGTGCTCGTTATCAGCGAAGTCTATGCTGCGTCCGTGATTCTTGGGACAATAGGGAGGGGCGACATGGGACCATGGATAATTGATTCCGAACACAATATCTGCTTGGTTTTCATGCCCATCATCGCCCACCACGTGCACGGGCTGTGCTTTGCCATTTTGTGATAAGTGTAATCCATGGATTTTCATGATGATGATTCTACACCCCCGTTCTTGTCTGCAAAGATTTCGTGGCGTGGAAGCTGGCGCGTGATGCAAATCACTGCCACTCATGCTGTTAAACAACACGTTGTTTCAGTGGTGTGACTGACAATGGCCAAAAGGATGTCACGTACTGCCACCTATCCCCAGTAGGCTGACCAGCGTTGCTGCTACATCAAAACAAACATCTGGGCTGCCGACATTACTTCCAAGCTTCCCCTATTTTCATAGAATGACGTAATCACGCGTTCATAACAAGCCGCAAACCGCCATGCGAAAAGTGCTTGCCCCCTGCTCACAAAGCGCTTTGCAGCAATTCTCATTACATCAAATATGGAAGGCGACGCGTTCGCCATGCATTCTGATTGCGACTGAAAAGAGCGATGCAATGCAAAGAAACTTTTTCACGTAAAGCCCTGCTGCAACGGATTCTGTTGCTGTCTCGCCTGCGTACACCCATCTGCGAGCACGGGAAACGGCCAAGACATCAATCCAGTCATCTACGCATTTCAGATCCGAACACGGTGCTGCAACTTTTGGAGTGGATTTCAAAATCGGTCTTGCAGCAGCAGTTGACATCGTCGTTGGTGAGAGGCTCGCCGTCAGTTGGTGCGAAGACGTTCTCGCCTGTGAGGGCCTTCGCTTCTTCGACGACTTTCGTTTCGAGATCGATTGCCTTCTCCAGATCCTTGCATTTGTGGATTGGTCTAACATCGTAAGGGAAGTCCATGTTGACCACTACTTTATCCTATCAGCACAAATGCAAGTATAGTCAGAACAAAAGAAATGGCTGTACCAGCAGACGGTATTCCCCCCGTCACGAGATAATGGAGCAAGATGATGCTGAGCAGCATGAGCATCAGTGAGCCACGTGACCAGAATGGGACTTCTTTTGTGCAGTAATTTCACTGCTTCCATTAGATGCAAGAAAAGTAAGAAAAACTGTGTTTATCATCACTAAACTCTCTGTCTACCACAGTTCTGGAATTCGATGTTCTCCGAGGCAATTTTCTTTCTCTGGATTGACTTCTAGAATGAGTCACGCACATCCACGCATTCAATTTCGCAAATTGTTTGACACATTCACAGGTGGTGCGCATCACTACATGGAAATGCTGCGAACATTTCATCAAGAACAATGCAAGGTCCTCTCCAAATTCGGACCCTTTCCGTGATAGAAAAGATACCCAAAAAACAATGGCTTACAATGTCCCTCATCGGATGCACTTATTCCCCCGAGTCCCGCTCCCACCAAACTCGACTCTGACAGGCGATCCCGAAAACTAGCATTAGCGTATGTGTGTGCGTTGCAGCTAAACCACAGCCAAATTTGCTGCTTGGTGGAAATCATATGCATCGTTAGCTCAAAACTAGTTTTAATTTTGTTGGTCAATTCATTTGATTTTTGAGCCTTCCTTTTGACCAAATGCTCCAAATTCAGACGAGCTGATGCTGACATTTCAATGCTCGAATATTTTCGCTCCTGTCAACCAATGACTCCGCCATCCCCTTATGAATGGGGATGCTTTAAACCCTGTTTCAGACAAAAAGTGTTATGCACTCTGCAGTACACGCTTGTGCCACTTCTCCTGATGAATGCAAACATGGTGAGCATGTTACCTCGCAGCCCGCGGGGTCGCCAGCATTTTCAGGCTGGAACTCGCAAATGTAGTGGGCAGCTTTAGCACAGGGAGCTGAATCGATGTTGTGTCTTGGCCCTCGCGAGTCGATGGTTGCACAGCGTTCTTCAAGTTTTCTCTCATCCATCGAGCGTGGTCTATGCTCATCCGCCACAACCTGTGAACAATGCAAATTAGTGTAAGTGTTTCATAGCTTCATTTCCGCATTGTCAAATTTGAAAGGTTTTAAGAGTAGTAAGATCGCCAGTACGAGTAAGATCGCCTTCATTTGTAGGATCGCCTTCATGAGTGGTAAGATCGCCATGGCCGCATCGGCTGCCTTAAGGCAGCAGATGCGGCCATGGCGATCTTACCACTCATGGACATTTTATGTATAATTATTGACCGGAAGAATTCCATATCAAGGGTAATTTTCAGGTGCACCAAACACGCTTTATCCTGTAGCACAACTGTCAAAATTAGCAATTTTCATTTTCAACGATGCTGATGGTAACTTGTCAGAGGAATAGCTTCGTTACGTAACGAAAAAAAAACAGGTATACAGGTTCTACAGCAAGCCATTGGGATGCGGACGACAATGTTCCTGGGTTGCATGGAGTACATAACGCTCATATAATAATCGCAGGTTGGTATGTGATACAGTTTCAGTCGCTTTTTGGACGCAAATGTCAATCAAGAAGCAATGACGTCTTGAGATCCCAAACGTATTGATGTTCCGGGACCAGCGAATCTTTTGGGTTGACTGCTGCATGCATTCTCTCCGTGGGTACGCAAGGCTGGAGATCAGTCAACGGATTGGCACTCCCACTGATGAGAGTGACGAGAGGTCCCTCTCGTCTGTGTCCTTCCTCATTGAAATTTAAGGAAAAGTACTAAAAGTACTCAAGTGCTAAAGAACCACAGTGCTAAAGTGCTAAAGGAAATTAATTGCAGATCATGCTTGGAGGATATCACATATTTGTACGTTTTTCCAATCGGGATATGCAATTAAAATTTCTCCATTCTGCGCGCGCGCGCTATCCCTATCGACAGCGATTAGCTCAATCGTTGCCCACATGCACCAGTTAAAAACCGGTCAAAGTACATGCAAAATCGTGTACCGTGTTGTGCGTGTAGAAATCGTGTAAAAATGAGTACCAATCGTGTATTGATCACAAAGAACACGGCGGCCGCTGGTACACGGTTGAAATCGCGTGACGCCGGGCTCGTTATCGTGTTGTCCATGGTCGTGAGATGGGCTATTTCGAAATTCGTCTATTACAGAGGGCTGAAAACTACACGACTTCAGCAATTGTGTGCAATCATGCTCCAAAGTGCCCGATTTTAACACGATATCACACGATTGCACACCGTGTAAAATGATGGAATTTTTACCACTGATGCACCAAATTTAGCTGAGAGAACGCTGCTGTGTATCTGTGTTCCCTATCTTGCAAGGTTTTGGATCTTCTACGAACGTCGGATGGATATTGAACAATAACTTGCATATGACAAAATCATATCTGAAGCAACGCACATCAGACATCATCATCATCAAAATCAATGGATCACATTTGTCACAAAATGACAAAACACAGCCCGTGCACCTGGTAGGCGATGATGGGCACGGAAACCAACCAGATAATGTGTTCGGAATCTGTTCAGACGTGCATCGGTGCGACATGTGGAAGGCACGCCACGGGCGCCCACGTTGTTCCACGTGACAAACCCGATGCGGGGGCCACAGCCCGACGTGGCGGCTAGCCCGCGCCCTGTCCGAATTTGGACACCATCAAGAAGCCGACAAAAGCCAACGTCATTTCCGCATGCCCACACCTGCCGACAGCGTGGGGCCTGCGCCCACGCAGCCGAACTGACCCCGAGGTGGCCACTCCCAGGACTCTGTAGCCTGAGTGATCGTGGTTGTTTGCGACTGCTGTTTTGGCGGACATGTGCTTCCAAAAGTTGCAGTAACTAGTCCCGAACATTTCCAAAGTAGTGTGTAAGTGTTTTTTTTACGCGACAGCAACTATCGCAGGGTACGCGATTTCAACTCTATGAACATGTCAGGCAATACAGATTTAATTTCTGATAACCACCTGACACTGCAATGTCATTGACATGATAATGTCAACCTAGCAAGTACTGGGATTGGAAGGCGACGGAGAGTGAACACGCGATTACCTGGTCTCCGTCCTCACCGCCATTGGTAAAGGTCGTCCATTTCCAAACATCGCTGAATTTCTGCATCCCAATCCACGACCCCTGGGGAGGTGACAACCCTGCCAAGAGAGCCTGTTCATCGGGCGTGTCCACTCTGGCCAACTGCCACCCCATCTTGCTGCATGCTTCCTTGGCCTCACCGAAGGGCAGCAAGGCAGAGCTCGCAATGTAGAAGTGGCCAGAAGCTTGAAGGAAATGGCACATTTCCCTTTTGAACATCTGTGGACATTCGCCCTCTTCTGTGCGCAAAATCTGCAAGACAGCACAACCACTTGTGTACCGTATGGTTGGGTGATTCTTTCAAAATTTTGGCACGTGAGCCCCAACAAGATTCCAATTTTCTGCACCAAAGCGCATGCTCTGCACACTTAACAAAGGCGACACGGTGCAGATTTGTCATCGCAGATATCTCCAACATTTCATCCACGCACGTGCATAACTATTGCATGAGTGACAATTTTGATCTTAAATCGGGATTTGATACAATCTGTTGCAAAAATGCCGCCAAAAGCGACAAAAGCTCAACGCTTCATTGCGTGCAGGTTGTGGGCTGATGGCATCTTCGCCAAATGGCAGGCAAACGTTGCATTCCTTGACGTGAATTGAATAAATGTCACCTGCGATTGACAGTCAGTGAGTTCGACGGGCTTGCACACTGTGGCTCCATTGTTGCTGGTCCGCTGTTGGACGGTGATGTCAGCATTCTCCCCTAGTTCGCCTACGCCAATGTCCAATGCCACAACTGCAACTAGCTGGCCTGGAATGTCCTCAGCTCCATCGGGCGACGGTATTTTAGGGCTGTATATGGGTGCGGCTACTGTCGCCTTCCGTCCGCTGCCGTCCTCATCCTCGTAGATGCCCGTCCAAATGAGTTCGACATCTCTTCTGTTCCACGATATGAATCTCAAATAACTGTTCATCTTTGTGAGGGGGTCGTCGGTCTCTGTTGAAACAACCATGAAAAATCGCGGTCGGATGGAGGGCATTAAAGAGACTAAAAGAGAGATGCAAACCTTGTCCTCATGATTGGACGCTGGAACAACTTCATCAAGTTGAGCTCCCGACCACTGACGAAAAACTAGGGAAAAAGGAGCCAAATAACACGTGTTCAAAAGTGTACAAAGTTTAAGGCTTTGTGTTATTTTTGTGTTCTCAGCGTGCAGAATTTTGATGAAATGTGTTTTATGTGTGTTCGCAAAAGTGTTATTTGGCCCTTTTTTCCTAGTGAAAGCAGCCTTACAACTGGAATGTGCAATATCTGGATACAAAAGTGGCTATGCTCGGACTGGAAGAACTAGGCTATTCGTCTGTTGCCATGCAGGTTCAAGGCAAGTGAATATTATCACGCCAATGTCAATGACAACAGCTGCAGAACGTCCAGAGACATCATCTCTTCTTCAAACTTGTTCATCTCACCTGAAACGTGTGACCACGATCCTTCATTCCTACAGGCAATCATTTTGGGGAGCCTGTCATCTGCATCAGTGGTCATGGAGAAGGTGAATATGCGAGCAGGCTTTCCTGGGACTCCTGCTTCTGTCAGCTCTTTTTGTTTGTTACCGATGACATCCAAAACAAATGTCACTCCATCATTCACGTTGTCTTGATTCGGCATCTCCCCATCAAAAGCACATATCTGCCCCGTCAAGGTGCAGTCATTCCCATCCGTGAGAAAAATGATGATCTGCAAAAACCAACTGCTGGTGAGTAAAGAAAGCCACAACAGATTCAAATCTCGATCATGGGGGTGGTGTGCTTCTCACGAAACGCCACTTTGATGAGATGCATGATTTATGTGATCAGCAAAAACGTGAGCTAACATGCAGATACGTGAAAAAGAAATCGAATAACGTTCACACATTGCAAGATGGTGTGATGTCCACGAACAGCTCACAGACCGTGAGCCTTACAATTCGATGCCATGTGCCTTGGGGCACTATGGAAGGCGGAAGAGCATGGCATACGGCGGCAATGGTTCACAACGTGGGCATAAGAATATATTCTTTAAATTGGGCACAAGGCCTACATGCCCTACACCAGTACTGCACGCCCACACTGACCTCTTGTTTCTGTGCGCAGCGTCTGAGCGAACAAGCCGCCGATACACCCAAAAAGTGAAGTGCACGCAGCAGCATTCCCTTAACGCAAATACACCATAATATTGCAGCGGGACCAACTGATAAACCGATTGCAGGAAACACTGTGAATGTATAACAAGCAATGACATGCAGCTTGAGAGCAACTGAGCCTTCTGCTTGCAAATATGGCATTAAGCACTGCGATCCTGCTGACCCAGTACATTTTGTTGATGCGTTACTTTTGCCAAGGACGCAGATTGCTCACGCAAGGTGCATTTTTGAATTTACGTGGCTCCACACAACGTTTTTCAGATGAATGGAAATTGTATTGGTGGAACCATCAATTTCATCGCCGAAAAGAAAAAGTAAGCAAACCCCACCTTTTCACATTCTGAAGTTGGTGGAACATCAACGCGTGTCCTTTCCTTCTCTGAAGCGATGAGAACATCAAACGCCGCTGAAAAACCAAGCCGAAAATCTGTCCCGCCTGCAGGAAAAATGTCTTTGACTGCAGCTCTCAAAATTTCCAAGTTTTCTTCTGTGCCACGTACAAGCAAATCTCCGTCACCCTCTTTTGACTTTTCGTTCACCAAGGCCTCGGTTTTGTCGGAGAACGTGACGATATTGATGAAATCGTTTGCTCCAAACGTCCCCACCATTTTCAGCAGAGCTTCCCGCGTAACGTCCCATCTCGTCGAGCCCGGTTTTGTCTCCAACGGAAGGTCCATGCTGGAAGAGACGTCAATCAGCAGGACGACATCTTTTGGGCCGCTGCTAGCCGCAACGAACCACGGCGTCACTCGCTGTGGGCAAAACAGCAATCCTGTCAGAAAGAGTCCGTTAAATGTCTCCAGGCTTGATAGCTACTCTCTGTCGGACATGTAAATACCCGCACCCAAGTATGTACACAGTTCGTATGAAGTAAACAACGAAAGTGCATAAGGCAGCTCGTGCGAAAACTGCCTGGATCGAGCAGTGCATGCAAAACGGCAAGCCAAGTTTGATCGTCCTCAGATGGGATATCTGACAGAGCAACAACAATTCCCCTATTTGCACTGTGCGTGCAAATGCCTGGTGGAAGATGCAATCGCAAATGGGACAAAACAATGGGAACATCATGATTACGCCACACGAATTCCGGAGAGACTCACACTGATATCGAATGAATTTACTACTGTATACAACAAGTGACACCCCCTTGCAAACGTGTACCGGGTCGTATGCTCTGCAGTTGGGAAAGAATTCATCGCCTTCTTTACAACGTGTCTCCGCTATTCCTGGCCACATTCTGCAAAAACAAACAACCAAAGATAGTGCAACGATCTGAAATGCAGTCAACTGTAATTCACTTTAACCGTATTTTAAAAGTGCTTTTACCCATTAGAACAGCCTTAGACGAGACAAAGCGGTCCCTTTGCTCCTTATAGCTCAACGAAGAACCTTCTCATAGGAATACATGCCCGTTGTCCCCTCTAGTGGACGACGGAGATACATGCGTACATAAACGCTGTGCATTTGGCCATCAGTTCGTTTTGTCTACTCTCCACCTGGAGAGCCAGACATTGCTACACGACTGATCATTATATTTGCGACTGAATATTTGCCCACTCCAATGGAAAATGAAGGAAATAGCCCATTCAGTAAATTACTTCAAGAACAAATAGAAATGTGGCGCCAGGAGAGCGCGCTTGCCTTAAGTTCTTGTTCACGACGTTGCAATATCAGCTCACATTTGGTGACATTCCACATCTTGAAGATGCCCATATATTGCATTCGGAAACGTGTATGTCCCATGTCCTAATTTGTTTGATTTTCATAAAGCAGTGGCAAAGAATACCCAACGATCATCTGTGCTCGACCAACAGAATCTGTTGTATCGGATATGTGATTGCCACTGAATCCAGCGAATAATCGTACTGTTCAATATCAAAAGACAGAAAATGCGGAGCTGAAAGCGTTCAACGCATTAGAACACCCCACCCACACCACCCACACCACCCCCACCACCCACACCACCCACACCACCCACACCACCCACACCACCCCCACCACCCCCACCAACCCCACCAACCCCACCACCCCTTCCACACCACCAACATCAAAACCAACACCAACATCACTCACCCCAGTCCACTAGGTACCTGTGCACTCCAGTTATTGTACCGATGTACGTCCTTGATAATGGCCGCTTCTCCTTGATTTCATTTTGGAAACTGATCTCAATCTCCTGGATTATTCGAGCAAACATGAAAAAAATTTGTTGGGTTGCTCTTGAATACACAGTCATCAACCAAAGACAACGCATTATTATTTCAATTTGTATTTCCCACCTTATATCAATGAGTTCTAGCTTACAGAATCACATATGGGCATTAATTAAAATCATTTTGTATATATTTCTCTAGTGCACTGCTTTCTCGATTAATTTTTTCTTGATTAATTGCAGCCCCAACAAGAACAGGCGCCCAAAATTGAGTTGGAAATGTAATAATTTAGGGGTTCAATCAAACGATCCAACTCCCAGAAGGACGCTCAGACTCTATCCAGTTGAGATTTCACGCTTGATACACTTTATATAATACTTCCTCCGTCTTAGATTAATTGTCGTCTATAATTTGGGGGCATTATTTCTCCATCATGCTCGCACCTATTTTCAAGGAATTTTCGCATACGGCTGTGTTTTTGAGTTAGGAGTACACCATAAAAATTTCAAGTCAATCCATTAGGTATTGAGGATGTCGTAGTACATTGTATTAAGGCTCTTTTTACATAGTAAATCTCATTATTTGTGGTCGAAATGACCAAAATTTACATTCGCCTTGCGTTCAAAAGAGTCATGTCTCACTTATTTTCTTGAAAATTGATAGTCAAGGGTTTTGAGATGCAATCTTTCGATTTTGACCTTGTTTTGAAATTCTGAGCTCATCCTCATAATAAATTTAGCCTTTCAAATAGACGACAATTAATCTGGGACGGTGAAAGTATATATGTATATACACACTTTATATATTAGTTTTCTAAAGTTGCTGTAAGGCTCAATCCTTGCTTCTGTCATTCTTTCCTAAAACACTGGCACAAATGTGCCTCATTAATATCAATGGTTGGAAAATAAATAGACGCAAAGGCTACAGTTCAAGTCTCCAGTTTTCGTGTGCAGGATAGAGCGCGACAGCATGGAAAATTGGAAGGCAATAAACCACATTAGGCAGGAAATTACAAATTTCTTTCTCTTTACCAGGAGCGATCAATCCTGGGAGATGATCTCTGTTCCAATTGCTGAAACGCGGACTTTTTAAGGTCTGGGACCCCGAATTTGACGCACGGATTAATATTCTATTGGCAGAAGCTTTACAATGCCTCGCAGACTATTTCCATATGTTTGGGCCTATCGTGCACGCGACGTACCACTATGCAATTTGCATGAGGACATGCTCACGTCAGCACTCACCTGGAAGGTGCAGATAGACTCCATAACACCTGCTGTCGGATCTGCAACGTTTGTTCCAGGTGGGGTTCTCACAATCGATTCGTCCAAATATACCTGTTACAGCATTACATATGTCAGCCACTTATCGAGAAACAGTTTCGTCACAGCAATTAAACGATAACTATGTTCAATTTCGAGTACAGTCCCGGGTAGCTGGAGGGGAAAGGGACACGGAATGCGCACCAACATGCCTCCACACACGGTTCCACAACCGCAGTGTTGACTTGCAAGGAAGAGCAGGCAACGCACAGAATGCCCAGGGACAAATTCTAAGAAATGATACGGACAGCGAATCAGAAGCAATCGGTGCCTTCAACGTCTGCAGCCCACCTTTCTTCCACAGGGCTCACAATCGGGGCATGCAACTTTGTTGCCAAG